AAAAAAAAAAAAAAAAAAAAAAGACTTTTTAAACACTAGTTGCATTTTAGGGAAAAATGCCTAATTGACGTCTTAAAAGCTTTGAAATGGAAGCATTAGGCTTTAAGCACAGGAAATGCATGGTCATTTTCTGATATTATAGAGGAAAAATACACAAATGTACCGTCACTTACCTTGCATAAAAATCTCCTGAACTTTATGTTCTTTAACCCAGGCTTTCACCTCCTCGTGAAGCTGGGGGTTGTCCCTGAGAACTGGGTTTAGACTGTCGACTTCATCCTATAAATACAAGTAAATACACTATATTAGTATCCGGTTAGCTTCCAAGAGTACACAAAATGCAGGAATAAATAGGATCATTCAGGATCAGGCTAGGAATCCTGCCTCGTGTTGAGTCGTACAAGCCCTGAATTCAGACAGTAGACACCATGTTGGCCAAGAAAGAAAAATTTATTTATTTTTAGTGGAGAGCTTGTGATGTCGTCTTCTGTATATAGCACAGCAGCTAGACATGCCATGGACCTAGAATGACCATAACGTTCTACAAGGTTCAACAATGACTCGCAAGCAAGGACAATGCAGGAAACATATAGCAAAATCGGAGTTGCTGATAGCAACCGACTCACCCTTTTCAGGCTTTTGGTGTAGGATAGAGGATGAAACACCCTTTTATAAGACCCAATGTCTGTTTACTGAAAATGTATCAAGGTGCAGGGTTAATGCCAACTTTTGGATAGTGCAAGGTGCTCAGTCAGTCAGTAATCTGCAAGGCTCCATTCACATATAGCGTATGCAATATAGCGCGTATCACATATAGCATGCAAACGCTAAAATCTTTACAACTGCACGGATTCGGTTTGTTTGCAGCTATTACTATAGCTACGAACGCGCGGAATCTGCCATCAAATCTCACTTGTACTATTTTGCGGGATGCGCAGTTTCATACTGCGCGGCCGCAAAAGTCTGAAGTGCATTGTTTTTTTATGTTTAGAGCGGTTCTGCGCGTATTCTTATGGCCAACCGCTTCTGTGTGAATGGAGCCTAAATGGCAAGAGGTGGCCGTAGAAGAGACAACTCAAGACAAATTGCACAGGTAAACTGCTCAGCACCACTTTTGTAGTTCTGAAAAGACTACGTTGGTGTTGCTGTTCCAAGCAACACCATGTTGTCCCCATGCAGTTTTATTTTGTCAAATAACATGTTCACAAATAGCAGCTGTACAATGAGGTTGGAGGTATTTTCAGGCATCGTAGATGAGGCCTTTAGCAATATCATTTTCTAAGCATAACTTCAAAAGCTCTGTTTATCCGATTCAACCATACAACAGATGGGGTTGAGTATTCACTGCACTTATTGCTTCCACTAAAGTGAAAAGATGAATTGGGATTTGTTGCTATGGTTTACTTCACATCAATGTACTCTCCGCTCTTATTGAACAAACCTCAGTGTACCAAACACTGGTCCAACATACAAACTGAGACACCTTCCAGCTTCAATATACAAAACATCGTCATCAGCGAGCTCTAGCTGCTCTGGAATATGACACAATACATCCTTTAAATCAAAATGTATTCACATGTACACTTAACAGAAAAAGTCAACTGAAGGCAACACCACTTTTCCTTAAACTACTAGCGGTACGTATTCTAAACATTCTTAACCATATACACAAAACCCAGCCTGTGCAGGCCCCTTAAGCAGAGAACATTACCAGTTGTTATCAATCTGACCCCGCAGCTTGCCATAGAGTTCAGCAAAAGTTTTTCATGACTGGATTTCACTTATACGTGGTAACGAAAAAAAAGCTTGTGGCCTGTTGTGTTGTGGTCAGGAAGAGGACAGCATGCCAGTGACACTATGGCAAATAAAGGGGACCTTCTTGTTAAAATATAAGGCAAGACCACAAGCCTACAACCTGACAGTATTAATATATAGCTGCTAATAAAATACAATGAGGCTTATGCAAAAAGGCATCATAAAAGTATTCATAGATGAATACACAGAAGCTTCAGGAAGTTATCAGGGCAGATGGTATTGTAATTAAGACCACACAATAGGGCACAAGATTTATAAACGCAGCATTTGACTTCCTATGCCAACAACCATCATTTTACTGCTTGAAAGGGCCACTAATAAAGGCTGCAGAACAACCTTACATGCATATTTAATATTGAAATCTCCATACAGGTGTGGGTACATTTATATATGCATTGTGCATGCAAGTAGTCCATGAAATGCAATTCTGAAGTGTACCTGTCCCGGGACTAACTATAATATTAGGGCATTGAATGGGTTTTAGACTAAGTCACCTACTACTTGTACAGTATATGAAGTACAAATGATTCCAACAACATGATTTTAACAGTAGATTGTAAAAAAAAAAAAAATGCATCTGTTGGTTTATGCTGTCACCATATAATTGCTATTATTGTCCTTTGTAAGGTACAAAGGTGTACACTGAGTGGCCAGTTTATTATGACCACCTGACGTTTGTAGGCAAATTAGCTATAATTAGTTTTAATTTTGCGCTGAAGTTGCTAGACGGCCAGACCATTATAAATAGGGAAGCAGGTTGTTTACCACGACAGTAGAAGTGATTTTTTCTGAAGATATGGGTAAACAACGCGATTTAACAGTCTTTGAATGTGGGATGATTGTTGGCGCTCGGAGCCATGGAGCGAGTATCAGCAAAACAGCAGAGTTCGTTAAAAGAGAGGCTCATTATTAAAGTGTTTAAAGACTGGACTGTCAACCGAAAATCTGGGTCTGAATGTGCGAATTGTGGCCGTCAGCGACTAGTCAATGTTAGGGCAGAACGGAGAGTGGCAAGACTGGTACAAGACAACAGAAGGGCAACAGTGCAGTGTCAGATTCCTCGCATCACCTTTCAACATCTTGTGGAGTCACGAGGCGGCCCAACTAAGTAATCTCGTGTAGTCATCTCGTGGCCCAACGAAGTACTGATGGGGTGGTCATCATAATCTGGCCACTCAGTGTATAAAGCAAGCTCATCTGCAAGATTATTTGCTCATAGCCAGGTTAAATTCAGCCTGAAGCAGAGCAAGAAGCACTACATACACCAGTAGCATGCGGACACTAATGTGGTGTATAGCACTGTGGGGCCACCAAAACCTGGGGTGATCCACAATGCAAATAGCCAGCAAAGCTTCCTGGTAGTTTGCACTAGACCCACCATTTTCTGCTGGGTGCACCTTACTCTTATGTTGGGCCTACAGTAGGGCATAACCTGCTAGCAAGAACGGTGCACAGGTCAAGGAAGCTTGTATTGTCAGTACATAGCACAGTTGGCTTTGTGGTATCAACAGTGTTAAACATTGCATACAAATCAGCATAGGTGTCTTAACCCGGAGCAGAACTTTAAGACCAGGCCATTACAATGTCATTTTGTTTTCTTGGAAGGCACATTCATGAGCAGATACTCTTTTAACGTGAGAACTGATATTTAGCCCTATATATGATCATGGATAATTTCTAAAGTGGTTGTTTAATGATCAAACCAAAAGGGATCAATATGCCCATGAAGGTGTACCTTAAAGCTGCAGGTGCAAAGGCCAACAAGTGGCCAATTTATAGTTCAGAAACATCTACTCTGATAAGATATGTACTGTTGTAATATATGCTCATGCATGTATGCATGCCAACACGTAGCAGTTCCTACCCACATGTTCTTAGTGTTCATCAACTATCACCCAGATGCAGCAGCACTAAAATATGTGACTCCTGAACCCCGAGGTTTCTAGGTAAATCAGTGCTCGGCCCTACCTAACTGCATATACTGAATGGATTATTTAGTAGGAAGGCACAATACATGGCTAATGGTAAATTCTGCTGAACAAACTAATGAAATCTAAGATGTATTGCTATGTAGCCAACATTCAAAAACGCATCTCATTTATTCAATCATCAAAAATAAGAAATAACTGTAGTCAAGCTTTCAGATCCACACAGATTGTCCTGATTTCAGCCCAATATATAGCAATATCCCCCCAAAAAATGTTTAAAGGAAACCTGTGCTGAGAGAAATGTGTGGGCTGGCATGGCTGACCCCCTTTTGAAAATGCTATCCCTCTGGCTGTGCTGCTAATTTGTGAATGTAGTAATGCAGAATTATATATACAGTATATATTCCAATATAATATTCCACAAAATGTATTTTCAATATGCTGAGCACGTACGGTATATATATATATTTTCCATATTCATTTACAGCTGCCATGCCACCTGCATTTTGATTCTGAGCACACAGTCCTATCATAAAGGGACTCACTACAATGGGTGCCTATTCCTTGAACAGGACTGCTTTGTCTAACAAGCCTGGCATTTCCAAGTGAGCAGAGTACTTGTAATGTTCCGCTGCCAGCTTAATTCATTCATTCAACACTTAAGAGACAGTGCTTTTTTAGAAGGCTGCCTGGGGAAAGTGGGGAGCATGCAAATTGCAAGCGAGCATAATTAAATATTAAAAAGTGTAAAAAAAACACCTGCAACACATTTCAACGACACTATGATAGAGCATCTCCCCATCATATTCTGGAAACGGTTTGCCTTATATCACTGTCTAACGGCACACTTGAAAAGGAAACTGAAGTGATTTCATGTTTTTATATGCATGTAACAGAGGACAGCTTAGTGGAAACTAAGCAATGTGAGTTTATGAATTTAAGAGACTTGTTTCTATGTATAGTTTTTAATGATATATGTAAAGGAAGGCGGCTTTATGCAACCTCTGCTTCCTGTATAGTAGTACCTGCCTAATCTGACGTGACAATCCCCTAACCTCCCAGCACATCTACCTGTAATCTAAAGTCTCTAATAATGTGAAATACCCACAATGCCCTTTGTAGCAAGAGACCACATGAACTAGGCTACCCAAGCTTTAGAGGATATTAAACCTATGGCAGGCAACAGGGATATTTTATTCAAAATAACAACTGGTTTAAGAATGCGGACGTAAGGTTAACAGTTTTTATTTAAAGTGTGAAAAACTTATATTGGGGAAAGAACATTATGCAGCATGCCACATTAAGCATTGTGATTACCTGGCACTGGGGATCCGTTCAGCCTGACAGTACATTTGTTTTCTGTTAATGCAGAGCAAAGCAATGGGTTGATGCAACTGCTGCCCCTATATACTGCACATGCTTAGCTTTGCCCCCGACTGCCAACATCCACCAGGGGCATGAGCCTGCGACTCAGTAACCTCCTATGTGATGCCATGTGAGGTCATTCAGGCAACCAGTGCTATCACATGGGGGTTG